CAAAGGACAAGGCACAGTAAACTACTTCCTCAGAATATAGCCTAATAGATTATTTTAAATAAGAACAAAGCTTAACAACAAATAGCCTTATTTCATTACTTTATGGTCAAATAAATCATTGAATCAAATAATTAATAGGCCTACTATTTACAGGTTTCTCGTCGTGAGAATTTTAAAACCTAATTCTATTTCCAACAGACTTCAGGAAGTCCTCGATATTAAGTTGGCCGTCGTTGTATTGAAGACATTTCTCCCTGATGAATCTAAGAATATTTTGAGTCTGCAGCACCCCCACCATCGATAATTTAGCTCATCTGATTAATACTGAAAAAATCTTTAAACGAGATAATCATGTAATCATGTAATAGTTACGAGATAATCATGTGATTACCTGCAGATATAAATCATAGCTTAATATAATCAATATTGATAGTGATGTTACTATTCATGTCACAGTTTTATTATTTTGGTCTCTAGTGTTAGTTTAAAGTGCTTGTAATATGTCTTTGGCTTGGATATAGTATTTAAATATCTAATATAGAATAGTCTATTGTATTTTATTTTATTTTCTTTCATTTTGACAACTTAAGTTGGCCCTGATATTTCCCGGATGAATTTTATTTTACCCCAGAGCCGGGACTGACTTACGTTTTCATTTTTAGGTAGTTACCATTAATAAACATCACCTGTTTAATATTTTACTTGCATATGCTTTGTTAGTAAACAAATCAAACAAAAATGCTATCAAAATCCCTGACATGAGTAGCTTATAGACGGTCCCAGGGCTAAGACAAGGCCCCACTAGAAAAACAGGCCATGCTGCAGGATCCATGACGTCACATTAGTGGATGGATTCATTGATAAATTCATTGCCATATACCATATTATGTTTTAGGTAAATAAGCGGGCTGTTTGTCAGATTTTAATGGTAAGATTTTAGTACAAATATCCACCACTGTGACGCGTATTGCGCTGCCCACTCTGCAGCATGGCCTGTTTTTTAAGTGCGTAAGACTTGAAAGTTATCACGTCATTGATGGTGTATAAATCTACTCCATGAAATTCGCTACATGTATGTAACAAGTTTCATGGCCATCTGTCCAGTGGTGTCTGAGTTTACCACTGCCAAATATATATATTATGTAAACACACATACAAACCAACACCCTCTTTTATACTTATATATTATATGTCCGTCAACGTGATAACTTTAACAATATTTGTCCGATTATAAGTGGTTTTTTTTACTATTATTGGTTAAGGAGAAAATTCAAAACGTGTAGAATGTAAAATGTTAACGTTATTCTTATGGAGTAAGCTGTTGTAGCTTACTTGTTTAAGTATATATATATATTGGTCAAGTTTTGATCAAAATTGCCAGATTATTTTATTTTATACTAATCTATTAATGTAAGCTATTAAGCAGGCAAATGTAAATTCGTTTAGTATTCAGATATGGTGACTGCTGAGGCAGGGGTATTTGTATATTGCTGAAATATGAATTTATTTTGTGGCCTATACACTCTTTAGTATTTTATATTAATGTTTTGATTATTTACATATTTTGCTATTATAGATAATAATCTACTTACGTATCACGTATGCCAGTAGGTGTCAATTATTAATACTTGAATTATGCTGTACATGTTTCAAGCCTAAATACGGCTCATCTTCAGCAGCATTTTTCTATGTACAATTTTCACATCGAGAGATGATTGTCGACTATATACAGACCACATATACACACAAACACAGAACGTTTTAGCATGCTATTTTTATTATTTACATGTGTTTTTGTAGCGTACGCTCGTTTAAACAATACCCGACCGGACGACATTTGTAGGCCTACAAATGTCGTCCGGTCGGGTATTGTTTAAACGAGCGTACGCTACAAAAACACATGTAAATAATAAAAATAGCATGCTAAAACGTTCTGTGTTTGTGTGTATATGTGGTCTGTATATAGTCGACAATCATCTCTCGATGTGAAAATTGTACATAGAAAAATGCTGCTGAAGATGAGCCGTATTTAGGCTTGAAACATGTACAGCATAATTCAAGTATTAATAATTGACACCTACTGGCATACGTGATACGTAAGTAGATTATTATCTATAATAGCATATTAAAGGTGTCAAGGCTGATTAATTTGATATTACATATTTTATAAATTATTTATTTAAATTTAAAAAGTTGACTTAAATTTTCAAACGAAAATCCATGATTTCAGTTATAGTTTTGTGCTTGTCCATATAAAGGTTCCCTGTAAGATGTTATAATATAATGTACTAATGAACGTATTTTAATTGTATATATATACTCGCCTTTGGCTCGCTGGGGGCTCCGCCCCCAGGCCCCCTTTTTTGGTTGGGGATAAAAAGAAATGGGCCATGGCGCAAGACCTGCAATTGAGCCAAATTTCAGATTTTTAGCTAATCTAGAAGTGAACACAATTGATTTAGACCGATGCACCTGTAGGAATAACATTGGGGGGATTCTAATTTTCGTGGGGGGGGGAGTTATATTTGTAAAATGACAATTTTGAAAAGGGCGCAAGATCAACAATCATGCCTAATTTCAGATATCCAGTTAATCTAGAAATGGGTAAACGTGATTTGTTGATCTTGCGCCCTTTTCAAAATTGACATTTTAAGTCAAAAGAAACGATTTAAGTATGAAAAATAGCAAAAACCGGTAAAAAGTTGAAAGAAATTTACCAAATTTTGAAAGTAGGGCGTTTTTTGAAGCCGAAGGAGTGCGATTTTGGGAAAACGCCGAAGAGGGTTTTGTAGGAAATTTAATTTTCTTTCGCTAAGATCCTTTCAAATCATTTCTAGCTCACACAGTTTTCGAGCTACATCCGGTTTTAAAAAAACGTGTTTTTTCTTTTTCAGAGGTCCGCCATTTTGGATTTTTGGGGGGGTTAAAATTTGAAAATGGGACTTTTGGGAATTTCACCATTAGCTTATGATCCCTTACTACAATACTACCAAATTACAAGTCAGTAGCACGTTTCCAAACGATTCGTATGACCATACCAAAGTAATTAAATTCCAATCTTATTCTCCATAAGAATAACATGGGGCTCGTAAAAGTGGCAAAAAACCTTCAAATTTTGAGATTAAAATTAAGTTTTGGGGGTCAAGCAGTAAAGTTACGAAAAAACAATTCATGAGTGAAATTTAAAGTAAAGTAAGGAGAATACAAAGCAATAATAATATTTGCGGAAAAAAATTATTTAAGTATGAAAAAATGACGAAAACCGGTAAAAATTTAATAAAAATTTACCAAATTTTGAAAGTAGGGCGGTTTTTTAAGCTGAAGGAGTGCGATTTTTGGAAAACGCCTAAGAGGGTTTTGTAGAAAATTTAATTCCTGTTCCTGGATATACTTTCAAATCTTTTCTATCTCTTACCGTTTTCGAGCTACATCCGGTTGAAAAAAAAGTGTTTTTTCGTTTTCAGAGGTCCGCCATTTTGACTTTTTGGGGGGGTTAAAATTTGAAAATGGGACTTTTGGGAATTTCACCGGTAATGTAAGATCCCATACTACAATACTACGCAAATTTGAAGTCTCTAGCACGTTTCTAAGTGGTTCAGATGAGCATACCAAAGTCGGCATTTTTCAATGTTATTTCCCATAAGAATAGCATTGGGGGGGAAATTCTTAAATAAGGGGGGGTTAAAATAAAAAAATGCGACTTTTGAGAATTTTAATTACAAGTCAGGCTCCGCCCCCAGGCCCCCTAGCTGTTAGTCGTCATTCAGAAATTTAGGAAGGGGTGAGAGGCCATCACCAAGAAGCCGGGGAAATTTCAAGCCCGTAGCACACCTAGAAGTGGTCTAGAAAGCACTCTCCGCATCTCTAAATTCTTTGTGGGGTTGTAATAGCGAAAATCGATATTGAAGTAATAACCATTTCACAAAATATTCGAGTAGATTGATAAGTATAGAATAGTAAAGTATTATATTAAGTAATTAGTTCATAGTAAATATTCATGTATATGTTTATGAAAATAGATGAATTTATTTTTGTTTCCCTGTCAGTTAGCCACAAACTGTATGGCATATCCAGTTCCGCCACGGGGAGGCCAGGAAACGTAGGAACCATATTAATTTACAATTATTTATATTAACAGTTATAGTATTTCAAGTAAACAGATGTTAGTAAATATTTATAAATTTATTAATGAAAATAGATCAAGTAATGTTTGTTTCCCTGTCGGTTAGCCATAAACTGCAAGGCATATCCAGTTCCACCACGAGGAGGCCAGGAAACGTCGGAACCATATTATTAATTACATGTACAAGTCAGTAAAATTTTGTATAAGATAAGTAGATTGATAAGTGAATAAGTTGATAATAGTAAAGTATTATATTAATTAAATAGATTATAGTAGATATTCATGTATATATTTATGAAAATAGATCAAGTAATGTTTGTTTCCCTGTCGGTTAGCCATAAACTGCAAGGCATATCCAGTTCCGCCACGAGGAGGCCAGGAAACGTCGGAACCATATTTACAATTATTAACACATGTACAAGTCAGTAAAATTTTGTATAAGATAAGTAGATTGATAAGTGAATAAGTTGATAATAGTAAAGTATTATATTAATTAAATAGATTATAGTAGATATTCATGTATATATTTATGACAATAGATCAAGTAATGTTTGTTTCCCTGTCGGTTAGCCATAAACTTTATGGCATATCCAGTTCCGCCACGAGGAGGCCAGGAAACGTCGGAACCATATTTACAATTATTTACAAATATACAAGTTAGTAAACTTTACTAACTACCTAAAGAAATATGAACAACAACTTAACTAACTAATAAAAAGAAGAAAAAAAATATATACAACAACGGGGACTTTTGATAAGGCAGGCCCCCTATCGTACTGCCAAACTAAAATACTAAAAACACGAAAAACGACTTATTTCTAAAGAAAAAACTTAAAGGGAATATATACAACAACCTAAAGCTAAAGTCAAGTCAGGGTTAGAGGAGGAGATCGTCATACACGATATTTTTCGCGTATGCGATTCCCCCTTGGACACGGTCGGGACGGACAAGGACGACTATATGGTCTGGATGCCTGACTCTACTGAGCAGGACGTACAACTGACCATGAGTGAAACAGTCACTGCGAAGATCGACTCCGACGCGATCAATCGTCTGGCCCTGGCTTTTGTGGCCAGTCATGGAATATGCCAGCATGAGAGGGAACTGAAGACGGCGGACACGAAGCGGTGACCCCTCGACGAACGGGAAAACGAACTGAATCCGGGGGATACAAATCGGATCATGTTGTCCAGGGAGTCGCACTGTGATCAGACGAGGTCTTATTGCCGTCACGAGCACTTTAGTGCCGTTTACGAGTCCGCTGTCAATGTTCAAGTTCCTCATGACGAGACACACGGAGCCAATCTTGAGTCGCAGGACATGGTCTGGTACACCCTTGCCAGTAGCTTGGTTCAACAAGTGAACGTCTACATCCATACCATCGTCGTTCTCCTTGTCCACAGAATCAGCACTCCTCAACTCATGAACGACGCCGTCCATCAGGTTGAGGACGGTGTTGTTGATCTGTTGGACATTGGCGTTCATGGTTGAGAGAATGGCCCTGCCTGCAATTCTGTCTGTGTGGTGTAGGTCACAAGCAGGAAACACAAACTCGATTAAGTCGGGAAGGGATGTCACGTATTTCACACCGGACAGTGGGATCAGGGCAACAGAGTCACGGCCTTCCCCAAAAGGAACAGATGTAATTGTTCCATTGCCTACTTGGAGGAGGAAGTCAGAGTAGGCAGTGGACCCAGAAGTCCGGTGAGGAGTGGAGAGAGAAAAGATTTTGAAACTTGACCACAGAGATGACGCACACAGTGATACACAGGCAATGTCGGCCGGAGTACGAGCCTTGGCAACAACTGGTGCGATCTGACGGAAATCTCCGCAGCAGATAAAGATCTTATTCCCGAATGGCTCAGGTGAATTCATGAGATCACGCAGAGATCTGTCGATGATTTCAAAAATGTACCGGTGAGCCATCGGGGCCTCATCAAAAACTATGAGCTGTGCGGCTCTGATGAGTTCTGCCCGCTGAGATCCGTTGGTCAAGTTCCAATATCCAGTGCCATCGCCGAGATCAAGTGGTAGCCGAAACATGCTATGTGCTGTCGTGCCACCAGGCAGATTACCAGCGGCAATGCCGGAGCTAGCGACAGCAATAGCGACCTGGTTACGACTACGGACGTATGCGAGGATAACTTGTATTAGACAGGTCTTGCCGTAGCCTCCGGGTCCGTCAAGAAAGATCAATTTTGTTGATCGACGATCGACTTGGCCCTGTAGTAGAGACCGAACATGATCGAAGACCGCCCTCTGGTCGCGGGAAAGTTTAGGTTCCCACTCATCTACAAGTGATCTCTGACGATTTTCACCGTAGATGAGTAGTTCCCTCCCCAGTTCGGTCGTGTCGTCATCTACAGTAGGGAGACCGTGATCGGCCAAGCAGGATCCCTGACGTCGAAGGCTTCGGTCGATCTCAATTAGAGCCAGCTTGTACGCAAGCTCGTGATCAAGAGGATTCCGCTCTAAATGGTCTTCGCACAATGCGTCACGGAAAGCATCCCACAAGAGGGCCGCAGGAGCTCCCATGTTACACAGAAGGACAAAGAAAGAGCGGAGCCTCGGACCGACCATGAATCGAGCTGCTTCCTTCAGGGCTTGGTGGTACTCGTCCTCGTCCTCAACCAAACCGAGGGTGCGCGCAACCTGTTGATATGTCGTGCAACCATCACCACCACGAGCAAGCAGGTCGGCGTATCCCCGGCACGGAATGACCATCAAAAGGAGCCTAAGAAAGTACTGCTCGCTTCTGTTTGGCGAGACCCAGAAGAGACGACAGATCTTTTGGCCACGCTTTCTTGAGGTAAGGAAATGCTTGCCGTCTGGATGGTCGTACACCTCAGCATTACTAGGGCGTTTGTTATGAATAACGTACTGCTCGAAAAAAGACTGGTAGGTTAAATCGTCGAATACCGAGTCAAGAGGCCTATTGAAATACAAGAGCAGGTCAGAGGTAGCTCCCGAAGTGGCGTGTGTCAAGTTGTTAGGGCGGAAGCACACAGTCTGTTTTCCCTCTAGGTGGACAGGGAGACAATCGACTGTGGGCTCAGACTTTGAGATGGGAAAGTCCAAGAGACGCCAGCATGCATCGCTGGCTCCCACCATACGCTTCGTGACGTAGTGCTCAACTTCATCGTCTTGTTTAATAAGAGGAGTAACTTTGACGTTCTGAAGCGAGCCACCCTTCATGAGGTATTTAAACAGATACTTGATCACACGACGAGTGGAAGCTACCTCCAAGTTGATGTGTGCCTCGTATTTAAGTAGTAATGCCGAGTTGTACGGCACGACCCAGCCGTCATGTACAGGAATCGATTTGTTTCTTGAAGTTATACTCCCCTCGTTACTATAATCACGTCGATATCGTCTACATGGGTTGATTCACAGGGAGGTTTGGGGAAAAATTTTGAACAGCTGCCTTTGGCAGTGTCCCAGCAAGGGAAGTCGGTCCTGTGATCCGTACCACAAGGGCCGTGGATCATGTGCCGCAGAACCAACGCCCTTAATCGGCCTCCTGCCTCCTCCGGAGATGGAATGTCAGCGCGGATGAGGGAGTCTATGTCCGAAGCCTGCACTGGTCCATCGCCATCGATTTTGAACACGATGTGGGCATGTGGAAGACCCCGCATCTGCATCTCGATGACGTGGACTATGTAGATAGACCGACCGAACATAGCTCCGCTGCGCAAATCACGGAGGAGTTCCAGCAGTTTGATATAGAAAACTCTGCAGGCCGTGCTGGGATCACTGCGACCGCTTTTTCGAGGACAGGCTTTTTTGTTCTCCTCCCAAGTCGCACTATAAGTGAATGTGAGAAAAAATGTGGGGAAGCCGAGACGTGAGACCAATGCCATAGCATTCTCATATCGAAGTTTCATATATCTCGGCCCCCCGGTAAACGAACTTGGGAGGTAAACTTTGCCAGCCTGTACCCCACCCTCCCCCTGAACTGTCTCGTCATTGTTAATGTCGTTGAGCACTTGCCGTCCACCACGATTCGCCGCTTCAATCTCATCCAACGGCCCTATCCTCATGGCATTTTCAGCTGCCTTCGTCTGCGTGAACTTGATGTAGTTGAGCTTCTCGTCCTCGTATCTGGCATACATTTCGACCTGCCAAGCTTGAGACAGTCGGCCGAGGTGTGAGAAACGAGGCTCAGACAGCAGAAGGCAACGGGAATAATCATACTGGGACAATTTGTTGTTAAAATTGTCACGGCGACCAATATGCCAGCCCAAAGTGCCTTGAGGATAGAGCAGAGGGTACTGGAAGGGTTCCATGAGGGGACTGAAAAGGTTGATAGAATTGGGTCTTCCGGATCCAACTTTCCATACGGATAGCTTGCGGGGCTCGTAAACTGTCTGGTCGGTGCTTATGACAGCGTGCACCTCAACGCCTGTTTGCCTGTCACCTAGAACGGGACCATGGGTAGATCTACTTGTCACTTGGAAATCCAAGTGAGCGTTCACAGCTGGCTCACTACCCAAACGCCGATAGTGAGTGACGTATGGATTCTGCTGTGACAGGTATCGATTGATAGAGTCAACAACGTCACCGTCAAGTGATCTACCCAAGGCAATGTTCCGCCGTTCTTCACCGTCGTCGATGTAAAGACGGGACCGGTTCACAAACTGTACGTCCCCAGCCTTAGTGGTAAACTTTTGACCAGGGTCGGACAGATTGTAGACCTGGTGGTACATTCTCCCTTCGATTTTAAAGAAAGAGAGACCACTGGGGTGCCTGTACCCACCAGATACCTCTAAAGCACAGAACGCAAACAGGTCGTTGTAGGCACGAGCCCTATCGAGAAAACGCCGATCCGAATAGAAGGATTCATCAAGAGGACTTAGATCAAGGACGTTGTATGCCCCTTGTCCGCAACACCACTTCTTCCTACCCTTTTCCTCCTCAAAAAGTGGAGCGCCACAGTGCATACATTTAAAAATATCATTGACCCAAAGACTAACTTTTTTAAGACTAAAAGCTGGAATATCATTCAACAGCTCCCCCTTCCAAGACCCCATTGGACCGTGATCAGAAATGCTTCGAGCAAGTGAAGCTGGCAAGTGACGAAGATCGGTAAATAGAGGATTTTTCAGACGGAAAATCTGCACCCTTTGTCGAGAGGCATCAGGATTTCGTTGGCTATATCGACCAACCGCCTCTCTGTTGACCTCAGGGTGACTCTGGCTGTAACGCTCAACAGCTGCCCTGTTGACCTCAGGGTGCGTTTGGCTATAACGGCCAACTGCAGCCCTGTTGACCTCAGGGTGCGTTTGGCTATAACGGCCAACTGCAGCCCTGTTGACCTCAGGGTGCGTTTGGCTGTAACGCCCAACAGCCGCTCTATTTACCTCAGGGTGATCTTGGGAGTATTGCTTTTTGTCATCCCTGATTTGATCAGAGTGTGTCTCCCTATACTTCTTTTTAGCCGCATTCACTTGCTCTTCCCTTGTGGTTTCCAAAGTTTTCGGGCGTCCACGTTTGGCTTTTTTAGGTCTTCCGGGGCATTTTTTAGGGGCAGAAACTGTCTGGGAAGGGGGAATAGGTTGTGGATCATTATCGATACGTTCGATCGACCGGACAGTGGAGTCAATTGAAAACCTAAGTTTCATGATGCTGTACTGTCCGCCGACGAACGCACAATTCACCAATAAAAGTGAGGCTAGTGTAGGGAAACTCCCACATACGAATAACCTAGCCTTATTTTTATCCGATTCAATGTCTCTACGGCGGGTTTCATTCACGGCGTGTGAATCAAATAAATAGAAATGATCTTGGTGACGCCAAAATGCAACAGTCACCAGTTGCCCCGTGAAAAGAAACCCGCCGTCGAGAGAATCAGCGGGCATGGCATTCTCCAAACTGGATGATAAAGACTTGACCGCCTCATCCAAGCCATCAACACAAGTCGGGTACAACCCGTTAGAAACATGCGTAATTTCCTCAATGGAAATCTGTTTCTCCGCAATATCAAATGTCCTGGACAGTTCCTCGGGGAACAGGAACCTGTCAACAACGCAAAACTCACGGCGAGATTTCGCATATAGGCGATCGCCGGCCATGAGTATTTCGTCGATGGCGGATGAACTGAAACCTCCGCAGAACACTTGCCAGGCAAGGGCACAAGCTGCATTGGCCATGCACTGAGCGTTGTTACTATCAGTAGAGAATCGTGGATCTCCCTGATGGAAAGAACCAGCAGCTACACAAGTGTAATCCATGCTTTCAAGCCAATTTAAAACAAATAATTGTGTATCGCAAATTGGCAAAAAGCACAAGTCCACATAATAGGATTAAGTGATGGTGAATCTTTAACAGGTATAGTCAAATTTGGTAGCAAAAATAAGAGCGAGAACCAACTCATTGTACTGCATTACCCACCAGGTATAGTCAAATTTGGTAGCAGAAATAAGAGCGAGAACCAACTAGATGTACTGCTTTACCAATAATCAGCCATTATTAATTTTTGGGAGGAAATGAGTAAAATAAAAAGTAAACTAAGGACAATACAAAGCATTAATAATATTTGAAGAAAAAAAATTACGGAGGAAAGAAAAGTGAGAAAAACATTACTACAATACTACCATATTACACGTCTCTAGCGCGTTTCTATACGATTCGGATGACCATAACAAAGTCATTAAATTTCAATGTTATTCTCCATAAGAATAACATAGGGCTCGTAAAAACTTTCAAATTTTGACATTAAACCTAAGTTTTGGGGGTTAAGGAGTAAAGTTACGAAAAAACCTGTAATGAGTAAAATTTAAAGTAAAGAAAGGAGAATACAAAGCAATAATAATATTTGAAAAAATTAATTATTTAAGTATGAAAAAATAGCGAAAACCGGTAAAGATTTGAAAGAAATTTACCAAATTTTGAAAGTAGGGCGTTTTTTGAGGGTTAAGGAGTGCGATTTTCGGAAAACGCCTAAGAGAGTTTTGTATAAAATTTAATTCCTGTTCCTGGATATACTTTCAAATCTTTTCTATCTCTTACCGTTTTCGAGCTATAGCCCTTGGAAAAAAACGTGTTTTGTCGTTTTCAGAGGTCCGCCATTTTGGATTTTTAGGGTGGTTAAAACTTGAAAATGGGACTTTGGCGAATATCACCGTTAGTTTAAGATCCCATACTACAATACTACCTAGTTTCAAGTCTCTAGCACGTTTCTAAGAGGTTTATTTTATCTTACTAATGTTGGCAATTTTCAATGCTATTTCCCATAAGAATAACATGGGGGGGAAATTCGAGATTACGGGGGGGTTAATGTTAAAAAATGCAACTTTTTAGGATTTTCCCGTGGGTTGGGGCCCAAGACCTACAAGTGTGCCAAATTTCAGATCTCTAGCTATTCTAGAAGTGCTCAAACATTTGTATCCCCCGTGAGTGAGTGAGTGAGTGAGTTACACATCGGGCTGTATAGTTATTTAGATATATCTGAAAAGGTCATAAATTGAACGGGAGGTACAACTAGATGCAGATACAACTAGTCGTAGGTATGAATTCTTTTGCTAAATAAATCATAACTTGGATGATATAAATTTTAAATATGCACTTGAAACAAAGTTTGAGATTTGAAGATTACCTAATATATATATATATAATATATTAGGCATTCTTCAAATCAAATCATTTTCCTACTACTGGATATTGAAGATTTAAATAATATAATAAACTGTTTCCTTGTTCAATATCCTTTGGTATTGTTGGATGACGACCGGTTTCGTGATGACAGTCTCATCATCCGATATTGTACAAAGCATTTACAGACAGAAACTATCGCGATGCACGTCGAGCCGGCCGCGACTGTGACGTAAGCGTGCTGCACACATCGCGATGGTTTCTGTCTGTAAATGCTTTGTTTTGTAAATATATTATGTGTTTTTGTTTTGTGTTCGGTAAAACTTTATGTCTACATAACGAATAGTTCTACGAGGATTGACCTGATGATGTGACTGTCATCACGAAACCGGTCGTCATCCAACAATACCAAAGGATATTGAATAAGGTAACAGATTATTTTATTATTTAATACGAACTTTTGTTTAAATGGTTACGTTTGTTAATCTTATAAAACAACTAATATAATATATATATTGAAGTGTTTTTGTAGGGTTATTAGTGACGATTTGTAAATTTAAAATTGCTATTTTATTTGTATGGAGAATAATACAGTAGACTTATAGTTGGCTTGTTACTTGATGATGGTTGTTAATTGATATTTTAATTAATATTGGCAAATTTGTTACATTCATACTAAACAATTAATATTTCACAAAAATACCTTATTACCTTCAAGGCAAACGCAATAACATATAAAGATAGAAAACCTGATAAAAAATAACACTGGTATGACTGTTTTTGTGTAGCGTATATATTTAGTTCTTATGAATCTATCATATTGGTTTGTTGGTCACATAGTTGCAGACAAGTACTTATACCACACGCACTATTACAGCTTTTTAGACACAGACACAAAAATGCCATATCTCGGTCATTTTTAATTGGATTTTCTATGTCGATGTGTCATTACGTTTGTGTCAGAATTTACAGTAAAAAGCATTCTTGTGTTTATTTTAAGATTTACTGGTTTAACGTTACTACTGTTAAAAATGTTTAAATGGCTGCCATGTTAAATTTTACATTTATAAATTGTAATATATTCTTGCAAAAACTAATTATACTAGCATTAACATTTATTTACAATTTAAAATTTTAAGTAACATGGATATAAAAGAACAAAATGGTGGCTCTGTGTGTAACCATTGATTTACAGGTGCTTTAAATGTGATACTGTATTTATACATTTGTTATTAACCCAGAAATTATATTCTAAAAGGTTGGTAGAGAGTTACTTAACACACTATAGTTCGACAGAATTGTTATAACAAAGTCACTACCGTACTAGATCATAAATGACCAGAAATATATTTTCATCAACATCATTAGGAGTACTGGTTAGATGACGTATTTTCTCGTCACACAATTGGTATTTGGAATGTGACGTTTGCAGTAAAGATTTGAATAAAACTTGTTCAATATCGTACAAAACTGTGATTTTATTATTTTGTATAAACAAATCTTTCAATAAGTCTTAATCTACGACTCAACGAAATAAACTATGACCAATAGTTGTATCACCAGCGGCGTTGCCTTAGTTTTTGTGTTAAAGATATTCGCTTATGAGGCTACCACGTAAAATCAAAACAATTGTTAGGTTGCAATTGAGGTCAATCACACTCTCGCAGTTACTTCCCTGCAAAGTGACCCGAGTGACCCTACGTAAGGAATATCTAAGAAATAGCAAATTAAATCCTTGTACGCTAATCACTCATATTTCCTTTACCTTTCCTAGTACTAAACACTGATTCCCTTCATTGCATTATTTTGCTAACGGAAGTCCATTCAAATTCTTTAAGTCGAATTGTTGTAATGTCAACCCTATCCTTCTGGGAACGTCAGACGTCCGGTGTCGCTGGGGGCAACAAACTCCATCTTCTATCTCGCTCTACCCCCACTCTAGCGCTTGCTACCCCTCAACTGCCAGGAAAGGCCATAAATCAGGTGATTAGCTTCAACAATACCCGGGTAGGATTATGGGACGACTTCCGTCTCCCGCCATTGAGACAGTACCCCTACCTGGTTTTATAGGAAGTATTCGAGGAAGTAAGGAGAATTCGAGGGGATTTTCTAATCGTCTATAGAAAGAGAAAATGGGAAATCTTCTTGAAGCAAATGCTTGTGTTAAAAGATAAAGAATTTTATATGGAGTCGTGGGTGGTGGATAGAAGATAGTCATGAGATAAGCTGACTAAAAGTTAAACTAATGTTAGGAAAACCAGTCACTGTTTCCAACACATGAGGAACACGGAATGGAAGAAAGAGAAAGTAGGCAACCTACCTTTTTACAGAAGATGGAAGGTCGAAGGTTGCTGTAGGTATGCTTAACTGATTACCTACTAAGGGCAAGGCAGGTAAAACAGCTGAATCATGAATCTTTTGTCAAATATTGTCATGTTGACAACTTATGTTTGCCCCTAAATGTGATCCTCATCATAGACGCCATTCAACGTCCTCCTAATAACTAAGAGGTAGTTTCTCGAGGAGTTGCAGTTGCAGATGCCTAGGTTTATTATTGAATAGAATCAAGAGAGGGGAAGGATAGATTAAAGGGCGCTGATTATGTTTCTATTTATGTCTAATGACAGATGAATAAAACATATTACAATGTTAAAGAAAAACTATAATAAACTTTAAGGTTATAAGATTTAAGGGTTATGTTTAGCACATTTTGATATTTAGTATATTTTATCTAATTGTATGTATACACTTTTTTACATATCTATGAAAAAGAATTGAGTGATTATGTTGGATAACTTGGTGATGCGGGACTTTTAGTTTTTTAGCCGTACTGTTGGTATCAGTTGCGAGTCAATCAGAAACTAAACTTCACCACACCACGAAATTCACGAAAAACAATGGCTGAAAGTGCGGATTGTGCGGTATTCTTTTCATTGCAATGTCGTTCATGTTTGTAAATTAGATATTTCTCTTGTGAATCCGTCTCGGTTGAAAGTGAAATCGTATTTTATATCCGTACTTTATGACTTTTTCAGTTGTTTGTGTCTAATATAGAACCACTACTGCTATTTGTACTAACCCAGTGATTTGTTGATCAACAACCTGTTGTCAAATGGAAACATTGTTGTGATACATTTTGTATTTAATTTATTGCTAGTTGTGTTCAAATTGCAAGAGTGTTCTTGTTGGAAATATATCTTATTTTGATCTATATCTCTAACAAAACCCAAGAGAATATCGCAATTCATGTGGTTTGATAAGTACAAGATGACTTTCTTCAGGAAAGCTAAACCCAAGTAGCACCTAACCTATGAACATTTTTTTTTATGAATATGCCTTAAGAAAATAACGTTTAGTATATTAGTAAAGCAGAATAGCCTATATATCTTACAACTACAATGTAGTTCTAATGATTACGTAATCAATTCGTTTAGTACAAAAGTGACATTCACAATTAGAAGCTGGCGTCCTATCCAATTTCGGAGTGTGTGCCTGAGGCAGTGGGGGGGCAAGGAGTCAACCAAGGGGGCGGCTGTGGCTTGATACAAAGAAGTGCCGCCCCCGGCATGGCTGAAGTCATTACTCCTAAGAGACAGGCGGTTGTTGACCGCCTTCGTCGCAGAATTGAGAACTACAGAAAACATCAAAGTGATTGTGTTCCGAGATTTAATCAAGCTTTCAATGGAATTGTGGAACAAAATGTTCAAGATACAATGGCCCTTAAGCAGAGGTATCTGGAAAATAAGTCGAAGAGAGCGGCTAAGAAGACTGAAAAAAAGATTCCTGACAACCCCTTGCAGGGGCTTCACGCAGTTACCGTAAGTAGAATAAAGTTTTTATCTTTTATAGGTTACCTAGGCTTACTAGGTTTAAATAAATAGCTAAGCCCTACCTAAAGATCTAACCTACTTATGAACCTTTTAAAATTATCTTGGTGACCTGGATGGTAGATTTCTTTGTCATGTCGTTGGTTCATAATTATACCGGAACCTTATTTTTAAGCCTTTAGTTTTAAGTTACCTTAACCTTATATGACAGCCTGTAGCTAGATTCATATTTAAGATTTTAATAAGCATATTGCACGCTCAGGCGCGTGTAACTACCCTGTGGAAGTCAGGCGTAAAATTAAATTAACAGTGGAACTGATAACTGGACATGGGCGATTCAGAAAACATTCATAACGAATGGGCTTGTTTGATGGTGAACCGATCTGTAGGCACTGTGGTAGCTTAGGTCAGAGGAGACAGCCAATCACCTGCTTTTTGATTAGGGCCTGATAAGCTTTCTGATGTTAGAAGGATAATTCTTGGCAATTTGGTAAAAAGATGACTTTAGGGTTATTAACATGACTTTTCGGATGAAGTGCTTTATGGTCTCAGCCTGCCCCTGTTAGATTAGATAAGATAAGTCACCAATGACGACCACGGCTGTAAAGCTTCCAGTTGGATAAATACAAGTATGCAAGTAAGTAAGTTTACCCTGTGGAAAGTTCTGCTAGTTCCGTTTGGGGTGTGTGCACACCATCGCCCGTCGGATGTCACTGCGCCGTCTGACACCCACTGATTGCGCACACACAGAACTAAGCCTTAGTTATTGATCTCGAAACAAGTTAGGCTACAAGAAAGCCTAGTAGGCCTACCGGTAGTGTGCCTTGTGGACAACATGAGTATGGTAGATTAGAGGGAGATTTTTTTATATTTTTTTGCTCAAAATCTGGAGAGAAAGATAAAATAAAATATATAGGCTAGGCCTAGCCTATGTGGTTTTACACACAATGAAATAATGAATGCATAGGTTTCAGACATCTTGCGTGACACTGAGAACCCCATTGGCTAATGTGTTTTAAGTTAGTTTACCGGTAGCGTACTGATTTTTCAAAGTTTAACAGTCACTAGATAATCTAGAACCTAATACTAGCCTACAATAATTTTTTTACCAAATATTTATTACATTTTTGGATTAGACTAGGTACTTTACAAATCTACAGTCGTGAAATACTACAGTTATTTATCAAAGGCATAATATAGGCCTACAGTCACTTTGTCTGTATCAGTAAATAAAAATGATAAGCAAATTGTCACGGACAGCGCTCCAAACCTGTTTCCCACCTCTAAATTACTATGTTTACTACCTACCACACACTTACACACGCAGAGCCAAACTTAGTGAAACTATTCCGCACCAACTTCTTCCCGCAGTTCTCTGGTGGAATTATTCCGTGTAACTGGATGCGGCGTGGCTTAGCTTGGTGTTAGCCATTACAGTATGTATACTACAGGTTAAGAGTTTTGAAAGCGGAATTTTAGAGAAGCGGCTCCTGGTTCCGTGCGCCTGTATGTGTGACAAAGGTGGGGTATAGGATGTTTTTAAGTTTTGCCCTACGTATAATTATGTGAGCATTCAATTGTGAGGGTTCAATTAAATGCAAAATAAGTACCGGTACACCGGTATTTGCTCTTAATGAGCCAGGATAAAATTCCAGGGGGTACCATGCCGGTTTAATAATTAAAACTACACTGTCAAGAGGGTAAGATTCCATGGTGGTACAATAAATTTACCCCATACACTGACCAAATAAACCATTTGTTCTGAATGAGTAGGATAAGATTTAGGCCCATCCATTTTTTTTTAAATTGCAACGGTTTATAATGTTTTATCGTTTGTCCGGTAGATTTGATGCACTGTAGGTAAGTTTTATTTCTTGATGTTTAGCCTATGGTTTATTTTGCTAATAAGCAATCTTTGAATGTAGGCATAGGACACAATGTGACCCTCCTAGGCCAATGCAAATTCTTTTTAAATTATATGGTGTGCATTTTAAGCAATCATAGTCTCCTAAAGTAGGAAACCCATTTAGTCCGATGCTCTCCATTCAGTTCAGTAAAGTCTCCAACACCTTCTGCCAAAATTGCTTTTCTCTTTGTTCCATCTCCCATCCGTTGACATTGCTCTCTGAGGCATTGGTTACGGGTCGGACGTCGGATCCGATGTTTCTCCGGCTCCGGTCTACATACACCAGCCTAGTTTAGTCACTGTCAAGCTTCATGTATGACTTAAGTGTAGACAAACTTTTAATTGAAGCAGTTAGGTAGTACCGGTATCCCTTTCTTTACAAAAAGTGATCAAATTTTTCATGATAACAGGAAGACAACCCCTGGCAGGAAATAAGTCTAAACTTAACTTGAGACATGGGAAAGTAAAATAAAAACTTAACATGGTCTTTCTTTAAATCAAACAAATTATGAAATTCTCCGTTTTTTTAAGGTTGTCATTTCTTTTTTTGTATATTATGTACCGAGAGAACCTTCGTTGTTTCCTTCAGCACACAACGTGGCTGTCACAAACAACTCCTCGGCCGAAGAACTTTTTATCGCGTCTAGTGCATTCCTCGTCGATTACTGACAGAGTCCGACGGACCAATGGGTTAGGTACAGTTGAACCTCTATAAGACGAATTTCAAGGGGTAGGGGAAAAATTCGTACTATAGAGGTATTCTTAATAAAGAGGGTCGTTTTATCGAGGTTTAATGCTGCTGTTATTCTTCTTATAGAGGTTTCTCCTCGCTCCAAGGTTTCTCCAAACAATGACTGAGGAAGGAGGAGGGATGGGTGGGGGTTTCATGTTGAGACAAGCTTCTGTTTGTTTTGAAAACTACGTACTATGGAGGTTAAGATTATGATAAATTCGTCTTATAGAGGTCACGTTCATCTTGTAGAGGTTTTGTGCTAAGCATATTCGTTGTATAGAGGTTAATCAGTCCTAGCCCATGTCACAAACAAATTCGTCTTATGGAGGTTTTTAACTTAATTACTACGTTGTATAGAGGTGTTTTTAGCATTGACCTATATGAAAGTGTCAAGGGGATTTAAAAAAATTCGTCTTATCGAGGAATTCGTTTTATCGAGGTTCGTACAAACGAGGTTCAACTGTATTGTCTTTAAAACGGCAGAAGGCGTCTGACCCAGACGGTGACTGAAAGGAACGGAACGGAGATAATCGGACTAGTGGTTTTCCTGCTTAAGCATACTTCCGAGTCTTAGAATACACAAAAACTCAGTTTACCGCCAACTAACAAGTCAAATTTACCTTGAGAGGTTGTAAATTTTCATTTAGTTTTGGCAATTAGGCCTACTTTCTACTGTACTTCCTCTTAGATTTCCTTATCTAGGCCTATTGATATTTTAATACTAACAGTCAACTTAGAAGGAACACACAGTCTTTTTTAAAAGCACACCGAGTCCAAAGGATAAACCTGTTTGAATGTCCACAGTTGGTGTTGCACAGTTTTTGCAAACACTTTCTACGAATGATAATATCGCAAGGATGAAATCTTTCCTCAGCACAATTTACAGACAAGCTTTTAGGTTCCCCTTGGCTTGAAAATTAATCCTAACTATTTTATAAACGTTCTGGAACCAAACAACATATTTTTACTAACATCAAGGCAGAATTTTACTGTTTATATGTGCATCGAATGTGGTTTTTGATATGCATATTATGTTGCAACACGCTGGAAATGACATCGAGTCATGAAACACCATATTTGATCAAATATTAAGGATCTGGTTTGCTCTCGAAGTTGTTATGTTATTTGGACACTCATGGTCCTGAGGTGGCCAGTTAAGAGAGAGAGAGAAATTCTTTATTGATAGGTAATAAACAAAATTTTTTTGCAGATATAAATAATAATTTTGTAGGTACTCTTGAGTTTTTATCTAAAATTTATCTGGTTTACCTCAAAATGTTACATCTAGGCTACTATGTTAAAAAATTAGGGAAATATTTGCTATTGATAAAAGTTCCATTTAAAATTTGTTATTTGCTCATTTTTTGCCGACTGTCTGTAGATATCCTTAAATTCAAACTGCAAAGGCTCCAGTGAAACTTTCAAGACTCATTCACATACAGTCAAAATTTAGACATATATAATATTTAGTATCGAAATTAAAAAGTTATTATCCCAACATCGTGTTCGCCTAGTGCTGAATATTAATTTTGCTAATATAAACAAAGATAACAGTAATTGATGTAACAACAGTGTAGTTTGTTAGTTTTTTAAGAGTGAACGTAAGTAACGTACAATTCAATAACTAAAAAACTGTAGCCTTCTCTTAGTAAATCAAATCTGCTTGTTACAACCTTTTTTGTTTGGCTAATTGAAATTGCTTATGTACTGGATTGAACATTTCAATTATTGGTCAGACACACTACACAACATATCACAACACTGAGTTCCGTGTAGTATAACTGCAGTTTGTACCAATAAACAAACTCCATGAGTTGTGATTGAGACTTGAGAGATATGATTAGCAATGCTACTCAGACCCTGGGTACTCATGATTGGAACATGGTCTGAATGTTGGCACATGACACAGTACAGTGTCTTACTGCCTCACACTTGTACATACTGATCATAGGCATAGATCATCTCCTGTAGCAGGTGTACACTCACAGCTGTCCTCTTCATCTCCATGTATGTAATCTATGCTGTCGATTAACTTGCTTCCCACATATTGATAAAATTGAAAGTACAGAAGTTGCAATAATTTCTCAGCCTTACCGCACTACTTTACAGTTAAACTACCTCACAAAAAGTATTCTAACAATGTTAAACATAGTTAATAAATTAATGCAGTTTTGTGTGGGCTTTAGAAGTTGTTTCCAGAAAAGAAAATTCTGGGTAGTTTCCCCGTGTTTATTTTGATGTTTGAAAGATAAAACAAAAAATCATTAGGGCTTATTCCTAAATATGTTGTGGACAAAATTTCATGCATAATAATAGTTCAATTTTTTTTTGTATGGATAATATTTTTTTATT